TCTCCCCTAGGATATGAGGCAAATCCAAGGAAAACTATAAAAGAAAACTATAGAACCCAGTTGTTATTTTAATGCTACCTTCTTTAACCTGATATCATACATGGGTAAGCAAATGTGGAAACTCTAACAGTTACCTGTAGAATTTATCACTCACTTTATTTTACGTGTAATTTCCAGCTGAAAGGGTCCAAATTAGCTCCCAAACCCTTCATAATTAAGGTTAATAATAATAAACCAGACAACCAGATGTTTAATCTGGATTTGGCATTTTTGTCCACTTATCAAATCCTTCCCGAGGATCTTGTATAGGCAAATGTTATTTAATGATACTAAAGGTATCATTGTGGGAGGTAAGCTGTTCTCAGTTGCAATTGCCTGACGGTGATTTGGTTAATGCTGGTGGTGTTCAAACGGTGCAGCTGATAGCTATTGGTATATTTTGTTTTCTTTTGTCACAATCGTTCTATTTGCAGGTCTTTGTATTTTGTAATTTTCTCCAGATCTTTCTCTTCTACTCTACTCCACTATCCAAACTTTTTTTGTTTTTCTTGTCAACAATTGTTAAGTCTGGAGTGTCGCAGATAGATACAAATTAACAGAGTCGGAAGGGACCTTGGAAGTCAGTGATGGCGAACCATTTCGGCACCGAGTGTCAAAAAGTCACATGGAAACATCACGCCTGTGTGTGCGTGCTCATTTGGGCCACCCTCTGGAAAAGCTAAACTTCCGGGTTCTGGCGTGCATGCACACCTGACAATCAGCTGGCTGGCGTGCATGTGCATGTCTGTTTTTGGCACTGCCACATGTGTGAAGGATAGCTGATCATTCCGTGTGCTTCATTGCCAGAAACCCAGAAGACAAACAGGCAAGGCCATGCATGCTGGATGACATGGCTTCATGTGCCACTTTGGTCATGCATGCCATAGGTTCGCCATTACAGTTGTAGGTCATCTAGTCCAACCACCCACCCACCCAGCAGACCCTATGCCATTTTTGACAGGTGGCAGTCCAGTCTCTTCTTGAAAGCTTCCAGTGAAGAAGGTCCCACCACAACTTCTGAAGGCAACTTCTGTTCCATTGGTTGATTGTTCTGTCAGAAAATTTATCCTTATTTCCAGGTTGAATCTCTCCTTGTTTGGTTTCCATCTGGCCTTCAGGTACTTTTGAAAATTTTTATTTTTTTTTCTACTTTTTCAACTATATGTTTCAAACAATTTTACATTCCTGGTTTATGACCATTTTAAAAGATGCTCCAGTGAATCATTTTGGCAACTGTATTAATGTTATTACTTATGATCAGTTGGTGGGATCTTCTTTTTTCTTTGCAGAATCTGCATTTCTGAATCATTATTTTTTTCAATCCTGGTCTGATGCCTTACTTTGAATGACTTGCTCTTCAAAAACTAATGCAAACAAGCATTCAGTTTCTTTTCTAATGGTCCCGTTTTAAACAATTGCAAGGTTTTATCTTTATCCATTTTCCCCACGATCTGTTGTAGAAGTTGATCATGTAATAATTTTTCCTGCCAGTATTCTGTTCATGTTTTTATTACATTATCTCAGTATTCACTTTTTAATTTTTAATGCTAATTAAAATTTAATGCTAATTAACTTTTTAAGGTTCTAGTTGTAAGCCATTGCCAAGTTTTATCTTTATCTACTTTTCTCTCGATCCCCCAATGATGATGATGCTACATGGTACATAGTTTACTATGGGGATAGTAAAAAGCGCCTAAAAACTCTGAAAATAGCCCTGGAATGGCTGATCCCGTTTGTCACATCTTTCTAAATGAATGAAATTGGAAGAGTTTGAAGCCATTAAAAAGGAAAGGGGGGGGGTAGTTAGGCTATTTCATCTTGTATCCCCTTTATTTATTTTTTTGTCATGGCTAATTTCCCTTCTAAAAGCTCCTATAAATAAAATTTAAAATAAAATTTAAAAAAAATCAAGGAAAAGCATTGCTTCTAAGACACTTTCTTTGTTTATGTATATACACAGTGCCTACATGTATAAAAGACAGTTTTCATAAACATAATAATTAAAATCTATTTAATTTGTTATATAGGCTAACATCATTTTTATTTTGACAGATGCTCCTTGATTACATTTAAGCAATTAATCCAACAGTGCTGAGTTCATTTTAATTAATCTTATTTTTCATACAGTCAAACTGGACTGTTATCAGGTTGATTCTGATCATGAATTGTCCTTATTTTCATTAAAAGATCTTTGATGAGCACTGTGATACTACTCCAAAATAAAGGGACAAGGGAGAGGCTAAGCATCAAACATGATTTAAAATGTTATAATTTAAAATCTTATACATATTCACTCCTTCCACACCACATAAAATAGTATAATTTTGGTGATTTAGAAATCAAACTAGGAAAGGGGAAATATTAATGGAAGTATTTTGATGCCAAAGTAGGAAATTAGAAATGTAACACAACAGCCAATGAGATGGGTTGTATGTTGTTGTTGTGTTATTTTGCACCACAGCTTAGAAAAGTAGTATATTAAAAGAGTGGTAGATATCAAACTCAGCAGCAGCAGCCTTAAAAATTGATAAATACAATCCAAATATGGTTCCTTCTAAAGATGAGGAAAAAACCTATCGTGAGAAAAAATATAATTTGATTTATAAACATGCTTATTCAATTCTTCTGAAATAGCATGCCAAAATACACTAAATTTTAGAACCATTTATTTATGCATGGCACTGTATCAGTAGCGCAGTATGCTCTACAAAGGGAAGCAAAAACAGTTGTTATAAAACACATTGATTAAACAATAGCAAGAAGAGTATACAACACTACAGTGCTGTTTAGGTCACCTAAATCCCCCCAAAGCCAACATAAGAAGGTTACATGAGAAAAGTAATGGGCCTTTAAATTTCAGTTTTCCTTGATAATTATGAAGCCCTGCAATATAGAATTTGCTGCACGTAATTTTAAAAAAAAGATACCCTGCTCAGTTCTGAAAGAAATAGCCACCATCAGTATTGTTAAAATTTCAAATTATTCTAATATTTGCCTGTTATTCATGCCTGAATTAACAAACTCCAAAACACAAAGTCATCCAGATGTATATGCACTTTCATACAGTATAAAATAAATGCAAAAGATATATTTTCAATTTCAATTTCAATTTATTTTATTTTGAATTTCATCTGTTGACCTGGTACATTTTAATGTGTCTAGAAGCTCAGAATTCAAAGTTGAGGACGCAAATAGACCAGTTGAAGTTTCGCTTATGCAATGTTTGGTTATATTTTTTATTCTGTCCTGACCTTATACCTAGATGGGTGTTAAAATTTGGAATAATTTCAAATTCTGACAAGGCAGTAGAATATTAGATCAGTCTGGCAATTTCAGTGATTAATGATTGGTGCTCAGATCTAATTTTTCTGTTTTAATGAGGGGGTTTCTGTTTCAAAAATCCATCTTCAGTTTAACCAAAACATTTGTAGGATAGCAGTGAAGGTGTGGTTGACCACATGCATTGTTTCATTATAATTGATTGTACTGTTTCATATGGAGATCACTGGCATTGTTTTAAATTCTCAAATTAGCAATAGCAATAGCAATAGCAGTTAGACTTATATACTGCTTCATATGGCTTTCAGCCCTCTCTAAGCTGTTTACAGAGTCGGCATATTGCCCCCATAATCTGGGTCCTCATTTTACCCAGAAGGATGGAAGGCTAAGTCAACCCTGAGCCGGTTGAACAGCCGAGCTGCAGAACTAGCAGTCAGCTGAAGTGGCTGCAGTACTGCACCCTAACCACTGCGCCACCTCGGCTCTTATTAAATAATAAAAGATTATTCACAACATACCATGTTTCCCTGAAAATAAGAGAAGGTCTTATTTTCTTTTGATCCCCGAAATAAGGACTTGGCCTTATTTTTGGGGTGGTCTTATTACTTTTGAGGTGTAGGAGGCAGTGAGTGTGGTCACCTCATGGCTGCTGCTGCGTTGCAATATTTTTAGGGAGGGCTTATTTTGGGGGAAGGGCTTATTTTAGTGCATGTGCCCAAAAGCTCGATTGGGCTTATTATCCAGAGAGATTTTGTTTTAGGGGAAACAGAAAATGTATTCAGGGAGCAGCATCCAATCTATTTTTTCAAAAGACATTTGGAAAACAACTATACTGTAAGGATAAGAATCCAACCTTCAGCTATGCAGTAGGATTGTAAATCCCTCAGAGTCAAAATGTAATTGGAATAGCGAAGTGCAGTAAAACAGAATAATAATAATAAAATATACCGCAAAACTGTTATTTAGGATTCTGTAGAAGATTTTAAAAAGTTGTAAAACTTTTTAAAAAGTAACAAGAGTTTATAATCCTAGATTACCAAACTTGCAAACCTAATAATCAGAAGGCATAGGAAGCAGTAAAATCAAGGCATTTAATACCAACATTATAGATATAATGAACATCAACAATTGATTCAGAAAACAATTTCATTTTTAAAGAAATGTCACCTCTGCAACGCTATAAAAAGGGAAGCATCTCAATCCAATACAGCTGCAATCATGTAGATATGTATCTCCAGATATATATGTCCATTCTCATGAAGATCAAACAAATTATCCCACCACTCAATTACACAAAAGCAACAAATATATTAATTCATCATTAAATGTCTCTAATTTGTTGGGGCAAACTCTAAAGCTGTAAGAAGCCAAGCTATATACATATGGCTGTATGTGTGCATGTTCCAGCATAACTCTGGAATGCTTCGAGCAATTTCAACAAAAGTTGGTGAACAGATGACTTACTCTCAGGAAAAAAATACTTTGGGGGTAAGACACCCCTTGGTGTGTGTATTCTGATAAAATACAGCCTGTTGTGCCTTAAAATGGCTTCTACCGTACTGCTGTAAAATGGCTTCTAATGCATAGCATAGTGGAGTTGTCATGGTAATGGCTTTACAGTACTCCACAAGGGGGCTCCCTCTGGTAAGGGGGAAAATCCAACATTAGAAATTACATTTCGTCGGGACATTTCCCCTCTATAAATAAATACCTGGGCAATGCCAGGTTATCAGCTAGTAAATAATGAAAGCATCACTGTGTAAGACTACATTTATTAAAGGTGTAGGGAAAAATGCAGGTTTATTTTATTCTTACTCTCATTAAAGTTTTGGAACTAAGTAGTTAAAACCCTACTTATAATTCCTTGGAAGAGAGCTCCATTGACAATGTTTGGTTTTTTAAAATAAATACCTTTGGGACTGACATTCAGGTTATCAAATAAGTAACTTCAAAGACATACCAGAATAATCTGATGAATTACTCCACAAATTGATTCTTATTTGTAAAAAAATAGCTGTATCCATCGATAATGCAGACTAAATTGTTTTTCCTCTTGGAACAAAGGTAAGAATTGCACCTAACTTTTATGTAAAATTATAATTCACTTCAAGTTATAGTATTATTTTCTTAGCTTCCTGCTTTTAAATTCCATGTAAATTTTGCTACCATAGGATCCCTTTCAAGGGCACAATTTACTTTTCAAATTATATTAGAAGGATAACTCAGTCAGGGTTTATACTGCAAAATATAACACTAACACGAACACTTTTATGCCTGTACAAGTTTTGAAAATGGTGTGGAAAAAGATCTATATTAGTTCCATCAATTTCTGAAAAGCGGATGCTCTCGATTGCCACCACAATAGTTTAATTAAAATAAATTCTTCTAATTCAACCAGGAAGCAACTGCCCAACAATTTAAATGCTTATTTTATAGATTTGGGTAGTTGCATTCCATACTGTATATTACACACAGAGATTTAAGATAGCAACATCAAAAATGAACGCTAGTACAGTGGAATATATAATTAACATTTTATAGCATAAATGCTAGTTCCATATATGAAGAAGCAAGCAAGATATATTAATTGCTTACAAGAGATGTTGTCAAATATCCTATATATATTGTCACTGTATTTTACTAAGCAATAATAATATCTTTCACGTGCCAACCTCAAAGTTAAAGTTAAGCAAGAGTGCAGTCTGCAATTCCTTGAGGAGAGCTGGAGAATATACTAGGATTATTCCTTACAGCAAGTCGTCTACCTCATTATAATAATATAAGAACATGTATCAGCAGGCCATTGTTTGTCAACTTTTCAAAATGAAACTTGAAACTAAAAAAAAGTAAAATTCAAATTTGCAATTTCGCACAAACAATTGCTGCTGCAGATCCAGAAGCATTGGAAATGTTGCATTAAATAATAAATAAGTGTAAACAAATAAGTGTAACAAATTAACTGGCAAATCTTCAGCACCACATTTTTAGATGCTGATTCTGAAATATTTTCAGTTTATCCTTAAATAATCAAGATAATATTATCTGTAGACTAGAACTGTTGAGTCACATGATAAGCAGCTAATAGTATGCTTGAATAGTTTCAGTGTTCCAATGCACAATTGGAACACTAATATCATTAAATGCCATACTTAATGGGCTAAAATCATTAAGTGCCATACTTTCAATACTGAACCACAATTGCTATTGTTCACATAATTGTGGTGTCAATTGATGGAAGCTAAATCATATAAATTGTGGTTTCAGACTACATCAGCAAAAGCTCCCCACACCCGCTCCACATGCATCAGATATATATGGTTTGGCACATAGCTGTATTAAAAAAATAAGTGTTCATTTATCTTGTTTTTCTGATTTTGTCATAGAAGCCAAAAGACAACATCTAAGGCTTATTCATTGAAATTATGGAGAGAGAGAGAGAAAGCACCAGTGGCCACAAATAATTTTGTCCAAGCTATATGGCCAACTCCTACTGAGGTATATACTTAACATGAGTGTGTAAGTTTCCATGGATTTATCTATTCCATGGATTTTATCTATATCATGGAAACATTAAATCCCCCCTTTTGACATTATATTTAATAAATACCCAATCATTCCATTTCCACCCTACTTTGAGAGGAAAAGTCACATCATTTGGATAAATACATGGTTAGATATCAATGTGGATTGCTCATATCATGCAGAACATCATTTCTGATAGGACGTGGAGTTCAGTTAAGCAGATGGATCAAAATTATGTCTTCAAACATCTAAAAAAACTCACAGAAATGGCATTTTTAGGTAAGTAAACAAATCCACACAGTGGCAGTCCAAAATTTAGTTCAAGCATATATGACATGTCTACTTGCAGCTTCATATCATGTTTTGTCCGTGTGAATTGGTTTTCCTAAATTAATCCTGAGAAATTAATGTGATATCACAGGTTATTCAATAGAAAGAAGTTGCACACATAGTTGAAAATCACAAAGCGCTGAACAATTAAAGGAATCATAAATTGTGATTCAGGTAACTGTGAGAGCTATAGTTATATTTTAACAGGGATATTCTATGGACAATATCTATTTAACAGAATGCTAAATTCCAGATTCCATTTTTTTCCCTTAAAGGTTTTCTAGGCATGCCAATTCAATTTCTATCTTTACCTCCAGCTAAGACCCATAATACACAACCTACAATCTGCTATGCAGTGAGGCTTATTAGATATTAGATTATGCCACTTTTTTCTTCCTGAAAAGAAGTTTGTGATGAAGATCGTCCCAACAAAAATTCCTTCTCATGAATCAGGCTATCCAAGAGGTCCTCCTGCCGATAATTATGATAAACCTTCAAAAAGGCCAATATTGTAATTCCTAACCAAGTCAGCCAGGCAGCCCAGAGGCCAAACTAGAAACAAAAAAGAGAAAGAGATAGTGAGAATACTTTAAATATATAAATGTATACCTTTCCAAAAATCATACCCTCTAAAACTGTTAACTCCTACAATCCCTAAATTATTGGAATTGCAGTTTCACAATATATATATATAGACCACCATATGGAGAAAAGTGAATCTAATACAATGTGCATTTCAGTACATTTTCCCCAAGAACATTCAGCTTAATAATAGTTAATGTTGAATATTTTCTCTATTCACAGTAGCCATAGACTACAATTTGTCAAAACTAATGTCTGAGTTGATACAATATGTTAGACTTAATTCAAACAAACAACATTAATGTAATATTTTTTAAATTCTGTAACATCTTTAAAAGACCATTTCAGTAAGTGTATTTTCCTAACCCAAGATCTCAAAAATGTATGAGAATGATTTTTTCAGTAAATGTTCAAAGAGGTATTTATAGATATTTGTTATATTGAAAGCAAAGCTTTTAAAATATCCAAACAATACCCATGCATTTTTATTATGCTTGCAGTTCAACTACAACTATAGAAAATTGATATATACATTTTAAATGATGCAGTCAACTGATGAAGAGCAATAGTGAAGCTCATAGGATATTACCAGGACATGGTAATATTCTCTATATTATGCTTGAATACAGTTGATGAAACATCTGAAAATTACTGTATGTAGCCATCAAGTTCTATTTCAACTTTCTGAATAACCCACTTTATATAACATCTCAGAGTACAGCTGCACATGTCTTATATTACTAAAAGGAATCCAATCCAGGTTGGCATCACATATTCAGCCTTTATATTTCTTAGTCTAGTCCATCACAATCTTACCTTTCCTAGGAATCTCAAGAATGTCATCTAAGAACCAATACACATATAACAGTATTCCATGTAATAGAATAGACCAGGAGTGCAAATAAATAGAATCTCATTTTCATTTTTCTTGAAGATTTATTCTTGCTGTATTTATGTCTAGGTATGCAGTTTCCAAATAAAAATAACTATGCTATCATCTTAGGGTAGGCTAAAATATGCATTTCCATAATTTCATGACTACAGCATTCACAGAATCACAGAGCTGGAAAACTAATTAGAGATTATCAATTCCAATTCTGTGTTTAACATAGAGTCTGCAACTACAGCTGTTGGATATCTACACAGCTTTTTCTTCAATATAGCTAATGAAGTAGAGGCCGTCATCTTCCAAGTTCCACTGTTCAATTGCTCATTGTTAGGAAGCTTCTCTCCGTATTTAGCCAAAATTAGCTTCCTTACAATTTCTATCCTCTGGTTCCAATTATCTTCTCCAAAGTAATAAAGCTCTAATGTGTTCCATCTTCCAAAGTTGACAGGTGGTAATAACATCTGTCCCTTAGTTTTCTCTTCTGCATAATGTCCAACCATTTCTCCCAGAATTTGGCTTCCACCATTTTTTCCATCTTAATTCATCTTTGGATATGCTCAAGATCAACTAGTTTATGTGAATGAACCATGTCAGATCTATTATTACAGACAGAAATGTTGTTTCGGATGAAATACAGTGCTAGTCATCCAGTGCAGAGTGAAACAATGTTGAGTGTGACATTTTTGAACTGATTCTAGATAGCATTAGATAAGAAGACATTTCGTGACATTTGAAGTCTTTCTAAAGTTCTGTGAACAAAGAGGCTTAACTTACCTGTGTGATGGCAAACTGGTCATAGAATGATGAGTTTTCTAAATTCAATTCAAGATCTATATCTTGTAATTCTTCACAACTAAAAGGAGAAGGCATTTTGGATGAAAGAGAAGGGAAGGAAAAGTAACTCAGTAGTTATAAATTATCTTTCATAGAATCCATCCTCTATATCACTAACTTGCTAAATCACTCTCACGCACACGGCTTCTCTCTCAAACACACATACCACATTCACAGAGTACATGACAACTGATGATATGTCTTATTATCACACAATCTTGTGGCTGTCTTTGAAACACAGATAAACGTTCGTATTACAATCTCTTTCAAGTGTTTCAATGAACCAGTCACAACTAATTGTAGTGTTATTGCAGTCAAGAAATAATAGAGAAAAAAGGTCAACATGTCAATGTCTTTGCCAACATTTTGTCAACTGTTCCCATTCTGGCCATTTTCCTGAAGATTATAAAATGAGACAAGCTGATGTAGGTTTCAGCTGAATTGGTGTCATCTCAAACTACATTCTCACTTTGCCAGGACTTCTCCTTGTATGTCCTTTAAAAAGGGGTCACACAGCCAGTTAAGCTGTTGCAAAAGACTCATATTATGGGATTTTTTCTGAAGACTCAATTGCACAGCAGTCCATCACTGCATATAAACCATGGAAGGAAAACCTTGTTCAGCAGAACTTTCTGTTTTGTTAATTCCCTGTTTCTGTGCAAAATTTCTAGTGTGGTCATCTGCAAAGATTATGCCAGAGTCGAACAGTTTCATCTAGTGACTAGATGAAACTTTGCTGTAAACCTGAAAGATTCCTTTTAAAGTTCTTCTTCAGATGAATGTTCCTCTAGGAAAAATTCAGCAAAGAATAAGTATATAATATTGTATAATTACAATAAATAAACTGAGCAAATAAATTCAAATAAAAGTTTGCAGATAATTGTCAGCAATGGCAAAATTAAAAGACCACCAAATCAAGGGTTGCTAATATTGCAAAAATTGGTAATCTACTAATTATAATTAGGTATTGTTAAATCAATAAAATAATAAGATATTTCTAGAATCCACATATTGCATTTTCAGTGCACAGGATCTATTGCAGTCTTGCAATTGAAGCATTTACTTAAGAGATTGTGTACAACTGTAATGAGAGGTCAAGCCTCAATGACAAAATGATTTGCACAGAAAAATCTCAGGGTGAAAAACAGCCTGAATCTGGGACTTTGGAAATTGCTACAAGTTAGTATAGACAACAATTAGACAAATGATGTCATGCTATGTCAGAAATAAATTTCAATAGTCCTATCAGCTGCAGCTACTATTTTCTCTCTACTGTTTTGGCATTGCAGGGATGCTGGTTCATGATAGCCCATCAATGACAGGATATTTATCATTGGTCTGTGCATGGGTATCTATTGGAGGAAGTGCGGGAGGACAGGGTTGGGGTCATTATCCATGTTGCAGATTTTGACCCTTCCATGTCAATATACATTCTATTTCATTGGCCATATACTATACCATACAGAAGCTTTACCTCTACCCTCCAATAATCTCCATAGCTGATATCTGTAAGGGCCTAGGATTTCTAAGTACTGTACAATTTAAAAGCCACACAAGCCTTGTTTCCAAGTACATAAGTATATCATGTTTATCAGTATGTATTGCATCAACAAAAAAAGGCCTCCAGATTCTAAATTTAAGATCTATACACAAGTCCTTTGAATAATATCTCTCCAATCATCCCACCCCTATGAAAGTGCCTTCTTTGGCATCATGCCAAGGACTTTCAACCACACTGAAACGAAGCTGCTGATCTTCAGAAGAAGATAATATTTGCATGTTTTATTTCCAATATTCCTTGCAAAATTCAATCAAAAATAAAGTCTGCATATAGATTGTTTTCTGTTTTCATTTTTTATAAGTATCTTGGATTTTTACTTGGCAAATCATAGGGTTTGAGATTCTCGAAATCATCTTCTCTCTTTCTTATCTTTCTAATAGTGTCAATCACATTGGAGGCTTATCTAAATATTTAATTATCTGGTTAGATTTTTTTTTAAAACCCAAGAAAATATTTTAATCAAATATTCAAATAATCATGGCAGTCCTAAATAAAACACTCACTGATGGCATATACAACATATGGCAAGGCAAAATGTAAAATCAGTGCTTTAATCATTATATGACATAAAATCTCACTACATACCGTACTTATTATTTGCAAGATTTCTGTTAAATCACACAACTCATTTAATCCTTTATACTCATTTTCAAATTAACCCCATAGTGATGGAGAACATTTATTTAATATGAATATATTTATTGTGCAGTATGGAAATTTACACAAATCTGAATTCAGTAGAAATTCCCTGGGGCCAATTCAATCATGTGAACAACTGAATATGTTTAGCTTAACTCAATGCAGTACCAGTGAATATTTTTGTTCACCATAATGCCATATTCATCTCCCATGTTCTTAAATTCATTTTAAGATATCAGAAGAAACTAGTGGATCTCAGCTACATATAATTTGCAATGTTCTAAATATGGCAAGAAAAACTTTTATCATTCTGGAGTACAATGATTTCACGCTCCAAGATTTTCCAGAAAGATATGCAGAGGTATTTTTATTTATACAGTTATCAAATCCTCTTATTGTTTATTTATTATTTATTTATTATGTATGTATTTATTTATTATTTATTTATTATGTATTTATTTATTTATTTATTATTTGTTATTTGATTTCTGTAACTGCCCATCTCAAGCAAATGACTCTTATGCATATTAGGCTTGTGCCAGGCAGCCATTCAGTGTAGTATTTCAATAGGGATGATGCTATTCTCCATGATGTGTCACAAACATAAGACTCACTATATCAAATTACTCTCTATAGCACACTGGAAGTGAACCCTGTGAATACATGGGTATCCTCCTTTAGTTGTTGGAGTGGAGAGTCCTGAAGCAATGCAAAGCAGTTCTTTTGCTTTTCAGAACCAAAGAGCTATGTTGCATGGCAAAGCAGCTTCAAACACAGTTCTAGGCTGCATAAACAGAGGGATAGAATCAAGATCATGTGAAGTGTTAATACCATTTTATAATGCCTTGGTAAGGCCACACTTGGAATACTGCATCATGTTTTGGTCACCATCATGTAAAAAAAGATGTTGAGACACTAGAAAGCAGAGAAGAGCAATAAAGATAGCTAGGGGACCGGAGGCTAAAACATATGAAGAACGGTTGCAGCAACTGGG